GGGGGGGGAGGGGGGGGGTCAGTAACTGTAAAGTAAAGAATTTTGCCAAAATTAGTTTATAGTTCTTTGCTTTAAGGGCGAGTGGCTGGCTTGATTATAACTGTAAATGAAGTATCATTCATTTTATTCAAATTTTATTTAATCATTGTGAATCTTATTTAAATTCTTGTTGAGTCAAGGCTCTTTATAACCGAGTTTCATAGTAGCAATAGACTTACATCTCCTCCAGAAAACAAACACTTGTTACTCGTAAGAATGGTGTGAAAGTTGAATTTTATCATAATATAATGATGGTGATAACGGTGTGATAATGATGGTGATAATAATGATAATGATAATAATATTAATGTGTGGGTAGTATAATGGAGATGATGATATTAATATTAATAATAGCAGTAATAGTAATGATGATGATCATAATAGCATTTGCGATGTGAACTATAATAGTAATGATTATGACAGTGTAATATAGTAACTTTTGTAATAATGATAATAGAATAATGATGATGACAGTATCAATAATGATGGATGGTGATGGTAGTAATTATAATAGTGATAATATTTTTAAAATAATGATGTTCATGGTGTAATAGTGGTAATGATAATAATAATGACAACAATAGTACTAACAATAGTAACAATAATAATATATATAGTTAAAAATATAAAGACACCGTAGGAGTGAACGTATAAGATCATTTTCCGTTTTAAATTACAAATGTGGGGAGCAAAGTATTTTTAACGAATAATTATAAGATAAATCTGTACATTTTTCAACTGTTGGCATTTTTCCTTTTTTGTCCCTTCTTTTATTTTTCTTCACCTCGGGTATGTGTCTTTGTATGAAATATTTGCTGCTGCATTTGCTTGGAGTTTGAAAAGGAACATACGTTCATTAGAGTGTTGAAAGGTTACAGCTGCTTTTATTGAAAATGTTTCTTTTTCTTTACTTCCACTCATGCACACAGTGATGTTTGTTGTTTTTCTTGGTCAAAGATTTTTTATGATTTGGTTTTTGGGTTGGGGACAGTGAGAGATGGCTGTTTGTGTGTGCATGTGTGTGTTTTTGTTTGTTTGTTTTTCATTTTGGGGCAGGGTAGGGGTGGGGTGTGTGTGTTACATATCCTCTGTTTAGATGAATTTTGCATCTGTACTTGTGTCTGTGTGTGGCTGCTTTACACTCAAGATGGTTGGGGGGATTTTTTGACAAGGTGTTGGGAGGAGCAGGAGAAAACCATTCTTGCGTGACTGCTGACCTCCCCTGATTCTTGGATACACTCTCTCCGCCCCCAGTTTGATTCTTGTGTGGAGAATGGGGGAACATTTTTTATTGAGTATCTCGATCACGGTCTTTCTGTGGGGACATTGAAGTGGTTAGGCTACCAGACTCGTAATCGTGAGGTTGCGGGTTTGGGGATTTGAGCCGCGGGCTCGACGTGTGTTCTCCAAAAAGGCACTTTACAAGAATTTTCCTCACTTCACTCAGGTGGGAATGGGTACCCGTCCATTGACTGTGAAAGATCTTGTCAGTATGTTAGTGTTTTAGTGCCTATAAATGGCCGCTTGCACTGTATGCTTCTCAGGAAATTGAGGTTGTTTCAGAATGCTCTCAGGTCTCCTGGGGTAATAGTATAAATTGAGAAGCGCATAGAGCTTGCTGTTGAGCGAGGATTTGTGCTATACAAATGCTATCTATTATTATTATTACCTGTGTTTCTCGGTTTGGCCGTGACAGGCAGCGTCAACCCCCCCCCCCCCCCCCCGGGGCGGTGCCACTGACTGAAGTGTCTTTAGGCCATTCCCAAAGGGGGGACATTTCTCGTTTTAATGCACTGTAGAATTGTAAATGGGCTGATCCAACAATGTCATGCTCATAACTGTGCCTGAACTACAACAAGGAACTGCTGCTTTTTCTTTCCTTATCCTTACTATTGTCATTTTCCTCTACTTCTTTGGTATGTTTGTCACACTCTTGTGACCCACTATTTCCAGAGTGCCTTGATAGTAGAAGCAGACTTTGTGCTGTTGAAGCTAGAGAGGTGAGCAGAATAAGTCTGATTCCCTGTAAGGAACTTCTCTGTTGACATCCACCCTTTGGCGCTCATATGACCTTATGCAGTTGTGAGCGCCGTAAAACCTCTACTAAAACAAACAAAGCAGAGTCAAAGCCTGCCTCCTATATGATCTAATTTTTGTTGATGGGGATGCTATACATCTACTTAAAAAACAACCTGTTACTCCTTTTTGTCTAAGGTCACATCCCACACTCAACCTATCATTCAGGTAGGAGGAACCCACTTGTTGATTTAATTTCATTTTGTTCCTTCTACTGTTTGTTTTCCCAGGTCTACCCTTTTCTCAGCTCTGATTGATCATTATTGCACTGCTGAGCTTCTCTTGGCTCAAACCCAAAGCATAACTCTGCCGTAAGCTGACAAAATGCCTTTTTCATTTTGGCGCCAATTTTTTATTTGCTAAACCGAAAGCTTGATCAGTTACTCTACTTCTGTGAAAAAATCAAAGTGTAACTGTGACTAGTTTTTGAATGTATTAGAGTTCAAATTTCGGAATCACTCTGTTTTTAAAAGGTTATACTGACAAAAAAACTCTTTTTCTCAAAACTGCTGTTAAGAAAAAAAGGCTTTTTGTCAGCTTACAGCAGAACTGAGTGCATAGTCTCGAACACCTAGCTTTGTACCACTCCTTTCATCTCTAACCGAACTTAATCGCGGTACAGGGAGCACTTAAAACAAGACTTGTCTGAAAACTATAAAACTATAGATAGTTTTAGAACATTTTGATTGCTGTAGACTGGTGGTTGGTAGCTTGTACTTCCTTTCTTTCCCTTTGCTATTTCTGCCTGTCTCTTGCTTTTTATCCTGCACTAAATACCGCTTTTGTGATGATGTGCACCTTGATATCTTTTGAATTTTGATGTCAATCCCAACCCAACCAACCCCCCCCCCCCCCCCCCAGCTTGAAGAAGAACAAGAAAGAAATGAAAAAGAAAAACAATTTGTAGGCCCTACATCCTTACATGACAGTATACAAGACTGGCATATGTAATGATTGTCAGTGGGAGGTTGGCGGGTGCTTTGATGTGTTTTACTTCTGGATCTTCTTTCCTATCAAATTCTATTATCTGTATCTCTCCTCCTTCTTTTCTGTGTTTGTTACTCTCTTGTAACACCTCTAATCTTCTGCACATACATGACCTGTTACCTCGGCAAGTGCTGTAAGTAAAACTCATACTAAAACTAAAACCATGAGATTGTCAAATATATGAGATATGATGTGCCATTAATCTGTGTCCCTTTTTAATCCGAAGAATTTCGGTCTGCACATAAATTGCATGCTGTGCACTCAAAAGTGAGGGAGATTGGTTTTTTTGTGTGTGTGTGTGTGGAATTTGTGTGTGTGTTTGTGAGAGTCAATAGTAAATTTGAGTCCTCCATTTGGAACTGAAGTGACTTACAATGTACATCGGGGGTCCCCACTCTATGTAGAGCCACTTGTGGGTCACAGTGATGCCTTGCATGAAAGACACTTTAACTAATTTTAAGGATTTGGGGCTCAAATTTACTTTTTTGTCTGTGTGCCTGTGAGGAAGAGGAATTTTTAATAATTAAATTTATGAATAAATATACAGTAGGGTTTGCTTAAACTAAACTGAACTTGATTGATAATACAGTTTTAAAAAAATGACAGAAATAAATCTCCAAACTGAAAACACGTCTGAACCAAAGACCATCGGGCAGTCAAGCAGATTTTGGCTGAAGTGGACTCCACTGCTTATACATATAATATTTTTTATTACTCTTTTTTATATTAATTTTTTGTCTTTTTATCTGGTTTTGATTTCAATCAGAATCGGGATTTTTTTGCACTGAGACAGATGAATCATTAGTTATCTTGTATTTTAAGATTTTTCTCCTTGTTCACTTGGTTAGCGATATCTGTCTCTATGATTATTTGGTTGGTGGATTTCTGGTATCTCTGTTAAAGAAGTTTGCTGTAAGACAAGGGAAGTAAGTGGTCAGTTGATGCCTGGTGTCATTTGATCCTTTGAATACAGTTTTGTTTCAGTGTTCAGGACTGGATGGTTGGCAGGTGCTCTCATGTAGTTTGCTCCTTCTTTCTTGGCAAACATCTGTTGCAATTTTCTTTTCCCTCTTTTCTTTGTATATTACTCTCTATAAACTCCTTACCTTTGGCATTTCTTTTTCTTTGTTGTCTTTGCTATCCCCTGCTAGATCTCATAGGTAGTCTACTGCTGGTTCTTCAACTTGCAGTGCAACTGATTTTCCCTGTGGGTGGTTGGCGGGTGCTCTGGTGTGGTTTGCTTCTTCTTTCCTATCAAACGTCTATCGTCCTGATCTCTCCTCCTTCTATTTTGTGTTTGTTCCTCTCTTGTAACACCTCTAATCTTCGGCACTTATATGACCTTATTGTGTTGCAAGTGCCGTAAAACTCTTTACTAAAACTAAAACTGATTTTCCCTTATATGGCCATTTTTCTACTTTGTATGGCTCCTTGGCTTCAGGAAGCCATATTCAGATTTTGAAGGCACTTGACATGTTTTTATACTGACTAGAGTATTTCAATTTTGGTTGGAATTAGTTTTGAATTTTTCCCAGTTTGCGGCTGAAGCCTACTCTTATTGATTTTAGGACCATCACAGGATCTTTAACATGTGCAACTTGCACACGGCACCTCCGAGATTTTTTGCCCTTATCCCTTGTTTTCGATATTAAGATCGGGGGGTGTAGCTGAAAGATAGCAGTAAGAAAGAACCAGGAGTAGCAGTAGGAGGAGTCAGGAGTAATGGAGAGAGGAGCCCAGAGAAGGCCAAGGGTCGGGAGAGAAAGTGGAAATGAAATCAGATGACAGAACAGGAAAAGGGAACAGGAAAGGAGAAAATCTAAGATAAAAAAATTTCATTGACGCTGTCAGGTTTTCAACCCGGAACCCTTTGAATGAGAGGCAAACACTGTACATTTAGACCACGAGAGCCCCTATCTTCTTCACTTTTTTTTTTTTTTACACATTTACACATTTGTGTTGCAAATGCTGTAAAACTCTCTAAAACTAAAAGATAGACCACATGTTGCCCAGAATAAGTCTCCCAGTTCTTTGTGCAAGTTTTCTGTTTTGGTATATCCTGTACGCTGTCTGTCTTGGGAGGGATGACCCCTGATTAGTTGCTCATTTATTCATGTCACACATTCCCAGCATGTCTCTTCTCCTGTATGAGCACAGCCCCTATGTACTAGGGGTTTTCTTGAGTCTTTTTTTTAAAAATGTAGATGTTTTTATGCCCTCATCGACATATTTTAAATCATTTGGGAGGTGGGCTTCGACCATACTTGTCAGGGCCAACTCAGGCAGAGAAGAATACAACATCCCAATAGAAAAACAGAAATGCTCAATAAAAATTCTCCCCTCAGGGCATTGATTTTGGGTCTCCTACATGTGTTAGTGAAGCACAGACCGCCACTACACCGGTCAACAGTTTACATGTATTGGGTTTAATTAAGTGTTGATACCTCCCCTCCAAATGAATATGCACTGTTGTCATATATATATATCTCATGGAGAATGTGTTTTCAGCAAGAACGTGTTGGTTTGTGGGCACTCTAGTGTGGTTTACTTCTTCTAACACTATTTTCTGTCATCCTTTGCTACCCTCCATCTCTTGTTAAAATGTTTTTTACTCTCTTGAACCCCTTCTGAATGGTCTGAATTGCGTGGATGTGGGCATAAAGCATCTACATTTACAATGATACAGATGAACATTGTTGTGCCGTTGGTGGTTGGGGGGGTGCTTTGGTGTGGTTTGCTCCTTCCTTCCTATCAAACACCTATTGTCCTGATCTCTTCTTTTTTATGTTCGTTACTCTCTTGTAACACCTCTAATCTTCGGCGCTTATTGTGTTAACATGTTGCAAGTGCCGTAAAACTTACCCAAAAAATGTTTTTGTGCCATTTTGCTTCTTTTTAAACTGTGAAGTGTGGGTAGTTGATGGGTAGTGTGGTGTGGTGTACTCCTTCTTTCCTTTCAAACATCTATCTTCCTTGTCTCTCCTCCCTTTCTTCGTGTATGTTACTGTCTTGTGACACCTGTAGTCTTCGGCACTTATATAACGTATTTGTGTTGTTAGTGCTGTAAAACTCTTTCCAAAACAAACTGAGAAGTTTAATGTGGGGTTGTTTTTTTTCCCTCCTCTCTCAGGGTCACACGATAAACTGCTACGGCATCGGGACGCACTTGGTGACCTGTCAGAAGCAACCAGCCCTGGGTTGTGTCTTCAAGGTAAGGATGCCGGCTGGGGCTGTAAGGATGCCACTCGTAGTTCCTTATTCTTTTAACTGTAACAGTCATTCTGCTTTGTTTCTCTCCCTGTCTCTTAAACGATTTAAGTTTTGTCGATGGGGGGTGCGTACAACAATCACAGTCATTGATGGTTTTTCTGTTTTGAGTTTCTCATAGTTTAACTTAAGACTTGAACAAAGTACCCCTCTTCTAATAAATGTTTTTTTTCTTAAAGAAGTTCTTGTTCTCCTTAGCTTATGGAAGTGAACAATGAGAGTGGTATAATGTACCAACCCCCCCAAAAAATCGTGGGAAAAGTTGTTTTTTTAATGTTCTTAATTTTGACAGCTTGTGGAAGTGAACAATAAGACTGATACCAAGTATCAAGCTAAAAAAAAATGGTGGAGAAACTGAGAAAACAAGCATGATAAAGCTAAAAAATTTTGAATCCTGAAAAAAACTGAAAAAAAAAAAGCATGATAAAACTTTTTTTTTTAAGTATGGAAAAACTAAATTTTATTAAGAAATGTTCCTTTTGTTGTCCCCAGCTTGTGGAAGTGAACAAGAAGCCGAGGATCAAGCTGAGTGAAGATGTGGAGAAAGTATCCATCCCTGGGCGCAAGAAAGTCTACCGCCTGTTTGGGGCCGATGGTCAGTGGTTCTCTTCTTTCTAGTTTAGTTTTTGGAAAGAGTTTTATGGCACTTGCAGCAGAAATAGGTCATATAAGTGTCAAAGATAAGAGGTGTTTCTGGAGAGTAACATTTGAAGAAAAGGAGGAAAGATATGGACTATTGAAGTTTGATGGGAAAGAAGGAGCAAACCACATCAGAACATCTGCCAACCATCTACTTTCTTCTATCTCCCAGTTTCAGCTTTGGTTGATGATTAGAGCATGCTGACCATTTGAATGTCTTATTTCATAGGATCTGGGCCCTCTAATTTAAATACCAGTAGGTGTTTTCTTTGCCATGTGACTTTTATTCTTCTGACGCAGAGCCAAATCAAACTCTGACTGTGAGATGGACAGGTCTTTAGATGAGTTTTCATTGGTCCTGATGGGTGCATCAGCCATTGTTTGGGGTATGGGGAGACGGTGGAGAGGATTATTCCAGTCTGAGATGGGCTGGTTGCGAAGAGGGCTCTCATGTTCTTTGAGATTACTCAACCTGATTTTAGAATTAGGATGTGTGTTTTTTTTAATGACATAGGGGGGGGGGGAGTGGGCGGGCAAGTCAAGGGGCATCTTATATCATTGGCAAACTGTTAGAATGTCCTGAGTCCGAAAGCAATTTTTTTTAAATAGCTGGAGAGATTTTTAAAAACTTTAATTCTTTTACCATTTGTACTTATTTGCTTTTAAAAAAATTTGAATTTGAACTTTGACAAAGTATTTCTCAAGCTCATGCGGCTTAGCACATTTGAACAGCTAGCTTGCATATGCTTCACGTTACCAAATCTTGTAAAAAGAGAAAAGTTCTGGGTCTATAAGGGTTGTAGGTCTGGTGGGAACTCAACTGACATGTCTGGTATTGCCTCTGTTAACCATTGGAATGGTGATGATAATAAAGAAAATAACAAAACTGTGTATGGATCTCATGGGAAGATTTTGGTTCAAGAGCAAAGGCAGTATATGTGTAGAAAAGTACGTCAACATCACATAGTACACAGCATGGCTCTAAGACAGACTATCTTACAAACAAACCCAGGCTGGTCTCCACTGTGCGGTTACCTTAGCATCCACAGATGCAACCAAATTCAGAGCCATTAGAATTGAATTAAGATCTTTTGGTTAGAAAAGTTTCTCATTTTTTGGCGCAAAAATCTGGGACACTTTGCCTCAGGATCTCAGAGAAACGACACATTTTGATAGGTTTAAGCGATTGCTCAAGTCTGATTTATTTTATTATTATTTATGGTGTGTTAGTTAGTGCTTTTTTTTTTTTTTAACTGCTGTCCTTTCGTGTATATAGTTAATGTATGGTTGTGAAAGTTTTTCTTTATGTTGTTTGTTGAACTGGTTTTTCTTGTTTCTGTGAAATATTTTTTTCTGGTGTAAATGATTATGTGATTGGTGTAAAGCACTCAGAGGCTATACTAGTATGGGATAGAGCGCTATATAAATGCAATCTATTTTTGGTATTACCTATTTTTGAGTTAATGGTTTTTTTGTGTTGTTGGAGAACACATCCCTTGAGATTTTTTTTTCTCTTCACATATGTATGTGTTTGCTTTAACTACAGGTACAGCTCTGGTGGACTTGTTGCAAGAAGAGTCAGAGCCGGCCCCGGAGATTGGGAAGCGAGTGTTGTGTCGTCATCCTATACAGGTCAGTACATGGGAGTGTTGAGGGGGAAGGGGGTTAAGTAGAGATGGAGTGTTGAAATTTTTATTTTATGCATTAGAGCCTCACAGTAAAACTGCAAGTTATTGGAGGATGCCACTTGAAGGGCGTACTTCTTTTCTTGCCCTCCGTTGTTTCTGTCTATTTAGGTCCTGCTTTTGACCCTAATTATAACCCTCTCCAATGGAAAGTTTCACGTGTAGGTAAACTTGTTTTTATCATTTTCTATTTTTGTCTGTTTGCTTTTAACTTGTGCTAAATGCCCATCATTGTGTTTGAAAACTTCTTTTCTTAAAGTAAAACTCAAAATGATCTGTCTTTCCAGGAGTCAAAAAGAGCGTATGTAATTCCTGCTGATGTGAAATTACTGCACAAAGTCTGGTGGAAAGATGGTCAGGTATGTTACATACTAACTTTCTCAAGTTCAATGGCTCTTAACATGGGTTTAATTGAATCCTGTGCTTTTTAGTGAATCAAACTTTCATCTTTTGCATGTAACTGCAAAGAGCCTAACCATTGCTCCGCAGTTTGGTGTGTGTGTGTGTGTCTGTCTGTCTGTCTCGTTCACCCCACTTGAAAGGTTTGATGAATGCATGTATGAAATATACGAGGTTCAGTACCTCCAGCTACGTTAAAAACCAAGGCTCTAGTAAGTCATGATGTCTGAGATATTAATTGGATGTCATTAAAGTGGTTGCCTGCTGTTTTCTTAAGCCAAATGAATTTCCTTGTTTGGTCACTTGTTTATGCGAGTGTACTTGTTTGATTTTGATATTATGGCCTCTTAGGGGTTTATTTTTGTATCCCCCCCCCCTCCCCGATCCTAGTGCACACTGAATTCAGAAGTCAGTCTTTTCAGGACACAGACAAAAAGCATGCAAAGAGTCATTTATCTTCAAGCCATGATTCACAATCTCTTATTGTTACTTTTAAGAACTAACCTATGGTTGCCATTGTAACTCAAGAGGAGTAAATCTTTACAGGAGACTAATTTGGTTTAATCTCGCCGCAACCTGGTGGCAGGTGGGTTGTTTGGCTTTATTTCTAATGTTTTAGGAGCATTTCTAGTAAAAGTTCTGACCTGTCTTTGACTAAGTATGTGAAATGGATAATTTTTCTATTAATTCCTCGAATGTAAAGATAATCATAGTCCATTCCTGCAGGTGGCTGGCAGATGCTCTTGTGTGGTTTGCTCCTTTTTTCCTATCAAACATCTATGGTCCTTATCAATCCTTCTTTCCTGAGTATGTTACTCTCTAGTAATACCTCTAATCTTTGGCACTTATAAGACCTATTTGTGTTGTAAGTGTCGTAAAACTGTTACTTAAATTTTTAAAAGTTTATCTGCTCCTCCTCTTACACCCCTCCCCACCCATCTCATCCTTAGGTTGGAGAGAATCTACCGAGTCTGACTGAGCTAAGGGAGAAGACTAAGCTGTCACTGAGTGCTGTGAGACAGGATCACAAGAGAGCTTTGAACCCCACACCTTACAAGGTGAGCGTGGGTGGTTGGCGGGTGCTCTAGTGTGGTTTGCTCCTTCTTTCCTATCAAACAACTATCATCTTTATCTCTCCTTCTTTATTCTGTTTGTTACTCTCTTGTAACACTTTTAATCTTTGGGACTTATATGACCTAATTGTGTTGCAAGTGCCGTAAAATGCTTACTAAAACAAAACGAGGTGAGGCCACGGTGTCACTCAAAAGAAGGGCTGTAGTGGAAATTACCCTGTCTTTTTTTTAATCGCTGTAAAGAAATTGGGTGTTAAAATAGCACATCGTTTCTCAACTCTAGACATAATGCATTTGTCAAATTATTCACAGGCGGTAACATATCATATAGTACAGTATATCGTACTTTTGTATAATTTTATAAAGAGGACACTCATGATGCTAGTGAGTCCTTTCTTTTAGATAGGTCTATTGTGTCTCTTCCCTCTCTTGTGATCTCGGATCAAAAAGCTGTGTCACCAACATTGCTAGAATAATGTTTGTGAGCTTCAACTCCCCGACACAGGTGGATAGGAAGTGCTCTGGTGTGGTTTTTCTCCTTCTTTCCTTTAAACCTCCATCACCCTTATCTACCCACCTTCTTTTCTTTGTTTCTGTTTTGTAAAACTTCTTATCTTCGGCACTTATATAACCTATTTGTGCTGCAAATGATGTAAAACTCTTACTATAATGAACTCTTTGTCATTATTATGACCCCTATCTGACAGGTAGTGTTGAAGCAGTCTGCTTATTGTGTTGCAAGTGCTGTAAAACTCTTACTAAAAAAAAGCAGTCTGCCTTCTAAATTATATAGATTTTGTTGACAGGAGTGTACAGTATTTGCAATCACCACAATGATTATGTGGCTTTGTTTGCCAAGACGGGATGTTGGTGGGTATTCTGCTCCTTCTTTCTTCTCAGATGTCTGTTATCCTCTTCTCCCTTCTTTCTTTTCTTTGTATGTTACTCTCCCGTAGCACCTCTTATTTTCAGAACTTACATGAGAGTGCGGTGGCGAAGCGGTTAGTGCGCTCGTCTCCGAAGCGGAAAGTCCGGGTTCGAGCCTCGGTTCAGACGCAGATTTTTTTTGCCCCCTCCTGCCCACCCAGTAGTAAAGGATACCTGACTTCAAGTTGGGGAAGTAAAGGCGGCGCGGAAAGGAACTGGCCACCCTACCACAATATACCGAAGGCCCAGGAAGTTGTCTCACTAACAAGGCAATCCCCAATGTCCGGATCGGATGCAGGAACAACTTAACTTTTTTCTTTACATGACCTACTTGTGTTGCAAGTGCTATTAAACTTTTAAAGCTAAAAACTAAAACTATTTGTCCCCCCCCCCCTCAATCCCCAGGTTTCTGTGAGCTCCTCTCTCTACACTTTCATCCATGAACTCTGGCTGGAGAGTGCACCTATTGGAGAGCTTTCATAAGGCCATCATCAACCTTCGACCTTCAACCTGTGACCCAAGCTCAAGGCCATGATGTACGAGGATCATCATGTATTATTTTGGACCTTCCCTTGAGTTGATGGGATGCCGGTGGCATTGTAGGTGATGATGGGTTGAGATGTGAGTGATGGTGGAGGTGATGGTGGGTTGGGATGTGAGTGATGGAGGAGGTGATGGTGGGTTGGGGTGGGAGTGTTAGAGTTATGGAGGAGGTGATGGTGATGGGGTGTGAGCCAGGAAATAGATTTTTTTCTTTTCACACTTGTTCATGTTGGATATATCTGTGTTTTAGGCCTTTTTTAGTATTGCTTTGTTGTCGTTTCGTTTCATATTAATCCATGAGAAATTACTCATGGGCTTGTTCAAATGATGGAGATGTTTGGGCATTCGTTTGTTTTTTACTATGGTATTTGATTGGTATTTTTTTTTACCATTGCATTGATTAAGAATGATTATTGATGATTTTGGTACAAGGAGGACAGATTATTATTTTGTAGTAAAGTAGTTTGTTTCACTGGTTTAAAAAAATATTTATGATGTTTTCATGTGATGGGGCGAGATAGAAATTCTTTTGTTTAAGTGGTTTACAGTTGGTTTAACTCTGGAAGATGCATTTTATTCAAACTTTTTGTGGTAATATACTGCCTTGCATTTCCTACCATTCTTTAATGGTAATCCTCTTGGTGCCAGAACCTCGTAAGTGTTTGCCAGTTTATGGTCCATTGTTCTTGAGTTGTTGAGATGTCTCTTTTTTTTCTGTTTGAAAAGAAATCAAAACCTAGAGGTTGCAGTAAATGTGCCTCGCATTGTTCGGAACTATTTGTACTCGTGTTTTGTTTTTGTAAGTGTTTTACCGCGCTCGCACTGCACAAGATCGTATATGTGCGCGGGACACAGTAATCATTTTCAGTTTGGAAGGAATTAATTGTGAATTTTGCCTGGGTGGCAGCCGAAACCTACTCTTATTGATTTTGGACCTCAAGGGATCTTTTATGTGCACTACTTGCACAGGGGACCTTTGAGATTTTTTCACTCTTTTCCAAGAAGGCTAGGTGTTAGATCTTACCTATCCTAAGATTAGGGGTGTTTCTGAAAGACGACAGTAAGGAGGAGCTAAGGAGTATCAGTAGAAAGGCTGCAGAAACAGTCAGGAGCCCAGAGGAGGGGGGCAAAGGGGAGAAGGGGTATGGGCAGAAATTGGAGAGGAAAGCAGATGACAGAACATTGTTAGAGAGCAGGAAAGGAAGTGAAAGGAGAACATTTTAGAGAAGAAAATTTTCCGTCGCTGTCGGGTTTCGAACCCGGGACTTCTTGAATGAGAGGCATACACCTTAACCTCTAGACCACTAGGGTCCCTTGTGCAGGTGGTGCAGGTGCAGTCCTTGTGGTCAAGACTAGTCCAAGGTTTAACTTTATGTCTTTACAAGCCACTGACATTACTAAATGTATGTTTGTTTTGCTTACTTAGTTTGGGTAGCTCGTAAAATAGAAATTCTGTTTTCATTCAAAGCACATTGTCCATCCGCGTCATTCATTTGGTTGTTTTCAAGGTTGAATCAGGCACTCGTTAATTTTTGGGCACATGGAGTTATTGATATCATCTTATAACTTGTTCATTTGCCTCGCTTCTGATGAAAACAATTCGCGTCTTATCGTAAGTAGAAGCCCGTATATTTGCAATTGAAGGAGGCGGGGGTCACCTGTGTCTGAGATCAAATTAATGAGAAAATGATCCTTAAAGTTTGGTGACTTACATTGATTGTGTCTTCGATCAATGTTTTTCTGTAATATCCGCACACAAATGGTTTTTGAATGATGTAAAAGATTTTATGCGGAAAAAAGCCCAAAAAACTATTAATGACAATTGCCCAGCAGGAGAGAAAATATCGGTTTCTTTGGTTTCGTCATTTTAACATGCGCCTGATTACACCCCCATGACACACATATTTTAGCTGCCAGTTTTACACTGCTTTTCCTAGCACCTCTCCTCCGTGCATCTTGTCCGTACTGTACATCGCCACTTTGGCTTGTTGCGGGCATTCCATACAAGCCATTGTTTTCTCACGCTATATGTACTCCTGCAAATGTGGAGTACATTAGTGACTGAGTGGCGATTGGAATGTTTCTTTCTAGAACTAGGAGGCTTTTTATGAGCCACATAAACACACTAATGCAAACGTCGGGAGAAGTGTTTGTTTAAACAAAAAATAACAACCAAGTTTCTCCTGTTTGTTTGTTTGTTTGTTTGTTTGTTTGTTGTGTTTTTAAGAGACATGTTGTTACTTTTTGCTACTGCTGACATTTTTGTAAGGTATACAATACGTACAATTTGATGTGTTTCTATCCTTTCAATAAAACTGAATGTGTAATTTGTATTCTTATAGTTGTCAGCTTAGTCTGTAATTCATATGCAAAATTTGTTTGGCTCCTAGTCATTGTCAGAAGATACTGGATGTATAAGTATATATATATATATTTATATATGTTTAGCTGTTTAGTAAATATTTGTGTTACAACGTATATTGATGGTCATTTCGTTGGTGTGGCAAACAATCCGCTGATGTCCGTTTGGACACTTTTGCACCAGAGATGACAAAAATAGTTTTTGTTATCTTGTCCCTATCAGGAATCATGAAAGGAAGTAAATTATAAGCCTTGATTATAGTATTAAACTGCATTTTGGTGATGCTGAAAGGTTCATATTTGATAGAGATTTGGGAGGGTGTAAAAAGTGAAAATTCTCAAAATCTGGACTTAATTGGATTGCTTGCAACAGCGAGTATATACTGTGTTGAAAAAGCTGTCCATTCTGTCGTATTTGTGTTTTGCATCTACTCAAGAACTATTTACACAGTGCATGCTATTTGAATAGATATATATGTGTGTTCGTTTGTATTTTTTATGACATAATAATAGGGCAGCCCAATGAGGAGGGTAAAAATATGTTTTCTTTCTTTGTAGAACACAGATCATGTAAAGTTTCTAGTGAGTTTGCTCGAAAATTTGCACATACAGCATCCAGACATGCAGTGATTTACTTCTAAAATTTTCTCAGCTTGTGTCCTCCGCAACACATGGATTTATATTATGATATTTATCATGGAAATACATTTAGTTTTCCTGACATCTCAAGAGATGGTAAAAAGTGGAAACAGAAAGCCTATGATCTAAGATGTGTCAAGATCCAGTCACATGTTAATTACATCATGAAACAAAGCTCTTGATTCTAGAGTTCAAAACCTGTCATTATTAATTAATTAGCAAACCTTTTAAAAAAATTGTTTTTTGCTTTGATATATTTTTTTTCAAAACTTCATTTGGACAGAATGTAAACATTACATTCTGATCATTTTGGCTTTATTGTTCTTGAATGCAGAGTTTTCAGGTACCATGATTCAACCAAATATGGTATAGCTTATTCAAGTTATCATTTGTTTGTCGGTGCACTGCTGTAACATGTCTCTCTCTCTCTCTCCCCCGGTGTTTTTATGAAATTCTAAATGTTGACTGCATAGACTGGAACGGTATTTTTGTTTTGTGGAGGTGCTCTGTTCCTTTCTCGATGCCAGCCTACAATGTCTGTTGTGGCCGTTTCTCCAGCTGATCTAAGACAGCTTGTCTGAATGACCTGATGAGTTCTAGTGTTTTAAAGTCCAATTATGAGTTTTGTTTTTTGTTTCTTTGTTTGTGTGAGGGTTTTTTGTGTTTTTTTACTTGACAAATGATCATTGAAAGCAAGTTGTTGTTCCTTCTTAAGACATGGTTAAAAGTTCTAAAGCTTGCATTCATGTATTGTAGTACCAGATTTTTTGTAACTGATGTTTGTTCCGTTCATTTCTCTGAGAAATGGTTACAGAAGCTCAAGATTCATTGTTTTTGTTTGTTTTTGGTTTGTTTTAGGGTGGGAAGGATATTTAATTTACCCCTGTTGGGAGAATATTCATCTTTTCAGTTTTGCTAACAAAAATAAGTGCGGGATCTATGTGGTTACGTAAACATATTTGTTTTTCATCAATATAGCAGCTCTTGGGCTTTTGCCCTTTGGCCTAGTGCCTTGTCCATTCTATTTAAAAACCGATATTGTTGAAAGGAAATCTAAAAAGATTATAATTAGTATGACACTATAGATTTAGTTTAGTAGGGGTTTTTCGGCGCTCACAACTGCATATGGTCATATGAGCGCCATTGTATGACACTATGCTTCGACATTCTCAAAGTGGCTTAAGTCTGTCACATTACGTCTTCAGTTTTGGACCAGTAAGTAACAATGCAACTCATTAATGCATAATATAAAACTCACCCAGTTCCTTTGTGCTTTTCCAATGGTACAGATTTTCAAGCACACCCCATTCCAACTTGCAACTAGAATTTGCCTGATCACAAGTTCATAATCATAAGTATGAATGCTGGGTTATATTTCTTGCCTGATCTCTGATTGGTTGAATTTTATGTTGATTGGTTTGAATAGAGTGTCTGTACATTCGTTAAGTAATCGTAAGAAGTATAAAGTCATTTAAGTAGTGGTTGTTTACTTGTGCATGCAAGCCTTACAATGTGTTAGATGATATTTTTAAAAATAGTAATTGCATTTTCCTTACTTCTGTTTTAGAATTTTTATGATGAATTGGGGGCATTTGGCATCTGTGCCATAGTGGTTATGCACTCAAGCAAAAATGGAGTTTCGTTCTCCTCATGGGAATCATACTTAGACCCTTTGCAAGACAGGCAAGAAGACTCACCATTTAACTACAAACATTTGTCTTAAAAATGTAACCAAGTGTGACATTTATGAAATAATTCACACACACACTCAGCACTTGCCTGTGATAGTGCCTCATTGAATCAAGCACAAAAAGATGGAATCCCTGAAGAAAAACGTGACGTTTGGAAACCATGTCTGGTTTCTATCACTCTGATTCTGAAATGTATGTAAGCTCATTATTTTCAACTAAAACTGTACCCATTTCAGTACTGGATGCTTTTTTAGTTTGCCTTGGACAAGCTTTTTGGAACCCTCATTGCCTTTTGTGATAGGACTGGTTCTTTCAGCTGTATTGCATTGGGGGGATTTTTTGTGTGTTTTTTATTACTTATTTTATGTACCCCCCCCCCTTCGTCAACAAGAGCATTCATTTTATTGAATAACAGGATGCTTTGCACAATCATCTTATTATTTAGAACATTCACTGTTATGTTGTGATAGCTGTCTTTGTCTCTCATACTTTTTGCTGATGTAGAGGCAGTGAAGAGGCAAAAGCATTTACTATTCTTTTATTAAATAAACAGCAAAATTGTCATCTAATAAATTGCTAAATTCTTAGTTGGCTACTTGCGTTTATCGTGTTGCTTATCTTTTTTTTTTCTTTTTTTTTTAGGGATGTGCTGCTTATTTGGGCTATATGATGCCGAAATAGCATTCTTGTTACTAAAAGAATGTTGACATTTTTTTCTGTTGGATAATCTTCTTTGCTAGCATGTTTCTTTGAAGTTGAAATGCTTTTTTTTTTTTCAGAATTCTTCTCTCC